GGGCTATGTCTTTTGATAACTGGAGAAAGCAAATCCCAAACCAGTAAGGTTGAAATTTCATGGGCCAGTGGTACTTCAGATTCTGGGATTACCCCTTAAATTACCACCTTGCCATTGTCTGCTTTTAAAATAGGTGCTCCAGGCATTCTGTAGGAAATCTATAGCTGCATTTAGTGGAAAAGACACAGAGGAAGAATGTGCTTACCAGCATCTGATTTTAATTGAGCATCATTCAAACTAATACAATAAAGACACAGAACTAAAAGGGGGCTAAAGTTGCATAATGTATGTAGGCATAGCGGTGCCCACCTTTAATTTCGACACTTCTGAGACAGAGGCAGGTGGATCTGCAGAGTGAGACGGTCTTAAAAATAAAAGTGGGGGTGTATTGGAACTTTGGGGGCAAGAGGGGTGGTATCCTGGGAAGTGAGTTGATAAAATAAATGAAACTAGCCAGCATGGTAATTAGTGCCTGTACTCCCAGAACTCAGGATATGGAGACAGTTGTTAAATTTGAGGCCCTCCTGGGTTACACAATGGGTTCTAAGGTAGTCAGGGCAACATAGTGAGATTTTTGTCTCAAAATAACAACAAATGTATCAAATCTGTAAACAACAGCAAAAAATTATTAGACACAAGACGCTAAAATCTACACAAATGCTACACTTATTTCATGACTTAAGTATTTCTTTTTCACTTTTACAAAATTTAAATCTAGGAAATCATAGAAGATGAGCCACAGATACCATTATGCTACAAAGAAATCTCAAAACTCCAGTTAGCTAATCCATTGTCATAGATGAGTTCTAAATCACCACTCTGGAAGTCCCAGGTCAGGGCCCAAGTTCAAATGTCCCAACAAAGTGTGGCTGGACCCTTAATTCAGTCAACAGAACAGGAGACAAGTTGAAGTGAGTGGCTGAAAAGAATCACCCTGTATGGGAAGGAACAGGGAACCAGGAGTCTTTGAGGAACTAATAACTTGGGATTTATGTAGAGAAAGAACCAAAACAAGGGCAAGGACTTGAAAATCCAGTATTGATTTTAATTAGGTTATTCTGTGAAATATCCCCTGTGGGCTAAGATACTTGAATACTTGGTTCCCAGCTGGTCACTCTTCAGGGAAGACACAGAACCTTTAGAAGGTGGAACCTTGGTAAAGGAGGTGAAGGCTTTGGGGTTTTATAGACTCACCCTACTTCCTGTTCCTTCTCTCTGCTTCCTGTGCAGGATGAAGTGAGCTCTTTCTGCTTCCTGTTCCTGTTGCCCATTTTCCCTTGACATTCTGGACTTTATACCTCTTGAGGAAGAAAACGAACCCTTTCTTCCTCAAGCTGCTTTTGTGATTGAGGTTGTCCTCCTGTGTATATGTTTCTCTTATAGGTTAATGAATAAAACACTATTCAGCCAATGAGGCAGAAAGATAGGTGGGACTAGAGACAAGGAGAATCCTGGGAAAAGTAGGCAGAGTGAGCCAGCCACACAGAGTTGCCATGCTGCCAAAGGTGTAACAACATGCCGGGGCATTACCAGGGAAGCCACAGCCTGGTGGCAATACATAAATTGATAGAAATAGGTTAGTAACTAAGACAGAGCTAGCCAATAAGCCCTTGACACCAGCTAACACTTTATAATTAATGTAGCATCTGTGTGTTTATTTGGGGTTCAAGGGTTGTGGGACTAGCTGGGACAGAAAATTTACATCAACACTTTTGGTCATGCTATTTCATCACAGCAACAGGAAAATAGCCAATACAAGTTACACTTTTGATGGTTGTTACCCAGGACTAGCCATACAGAGACTTGTCAACAAGAAAATTGCTGCAGCAGTACATGGTGGCTGAGGCAGGAAGATGGAGATTTGAGGTCAGCATGGAACGTACAGTAAGATCCTGTCTCAAAAGTCACCACCACTGCCAACAGCCCTAACAAAATCTACAGGGAAGCCATTGCTGCCTGGGGTTAATTTTGACTCTTGTCACAAGGCTTTTATCAATCAAGCCTGTTGCTGCTTACACTGCTGTTCCTTCAAAGCCACTGCAAGAGAGAACACTTAGGAAGGATGTCTGAAAGGCAGCTTGGAGCCAGGTAAGTCAATGATGGACTCTCCTTCAGGTTTAGGGCAACACTTACAGATTCTAGGTACCACCCCCAGCAGTCTGGAATTAAACACTGTAAAAGGTAGTCCTTGATATCTGTTCATTTTTTAACAGGAGATAGGAAAGAAAGGCAAGGAAAATCATGGGGACATGGGAAGGGAAAGAACCCATTCAGCCAGAGTGTGGTGGAAGTTTGCCATTGGCTGAGAAACAAACATTGCAGCATAACACAATCAACATTTTCTGTGAAAGTTGTTAACAGAGTAGACATATTCCCTTCATATATAGATATTTCATGTCAAAATACCTATGACCTAGGCTCATGGACTGATTATATATAACCTTGGGAGGTGTATATGACCTTGGAAGGTGCCATATGTGTAACGATAATTCTTTCTGCCAGCTGCCATCTTCTGCCACCACACAACCCACTAATATATACTAATATATTAGTAACAATGCTGCTGGCCAATGACTAGGATTTCTTATATGCTAGCTCAGTCTTAATTATCAACCATAACTACTAATCTATATATTTTATAAGGACTTATCTTACCAAGGACGCCGGCCTTATGTGTCCTCTCTTCCTGGTGATCACATGGCGACTCTCTTTACTACATTTCCCAGAATCCTGCTTCTCTCCTAGTCCCACCTAACTTGCTTCTCTATTGGCCAACAGTGCTTTATTTATCAACAATAAGACAAACATAGACACAGAAGGACCTCCCCCATCACATACAACCTTGGAAGATTTATGTAACCTTGGGAGGCGTATATGACATTGGGAGGTATATACAACCTTGGGGGTGTATACACCCTTGGAAGAGTCTCACTCCTTTTTCTGGACATTTTTGGGAATCCCAAGAAAGACTTTGTTTACAGTGTAGCTATCCCATCTTCTCAAATCCCTGTGGTCTTTTCAACAGTAGACCCCAGGAACCACTCTGTGATCCTGCTTACATTCCTTAGCAACTTTTTGAAGATAACATCAAAACCTATCCAAATCCTGCTTGTGACAATTATAGAGACAGCATAGCTCTCTCTCAGAGAAGTCTATACCTTTGCTTTGGAGTCTGTCTTTCTTCTGGAGTGCCTCTCTTTCTCTTTTCCTGCACTTAAAACCCTATATTAAAATATTTTAGTTTTGTTGTGTTTGTTTGTGTGTGTGTGTGTGTGTGTGTGTGTGTGTGTGTGTCCGCGTGTGTGCGCACACGCGTGCATTTATACTCGAGAGTGCATGTGTGCTGAGACTGCCCATATTCCAGAAGATGGTCCCACACCCATATATCAACAGGCAGCACTAAGTGGACTCTGGGTCTGGAGAGACAGGGACAGGGGTGGGGGAGGAAGGGAGGGAGAGACAAAGAGGAAGAAGAAGAAGAAAAAGGAGGAGGAGAAGGAGACAGAAAGCCAGGTGGTGGTGGCTCAAGCCTTTAATCCCAACACTTGGGAGGCAGAGACAGGTGGATCTCTGTTCTGCAAAGTGAGTTCCAGGATAGGCTCCTAAGTTACAGAGGATCCCTGTCTTGAAAAACCAAAAAAGAAGGTAGAGGAGGAATTAAAGGGACAGAAACACATTATATGAATGTATGAAATTTTTAAATAGTAAAAAAAAAGTCTTGGCCGAGCGTTGGTGGTGCACACCTTTAATCTCAGCACTCGGGAGGCAGAGGCAGGTGGATCTCTGTGAGTTTGAGGCCAGCCTGGTCTCCAGAGTGAGTGCCAGGATAGGCTCCAAAGCTACACAGAGAAACCCTGTCTCGAAAAACAAACAAACAAACAATAAGTCTCTGAGAGCAAGGCACGGCCTCAAAAAAGCCGTTTTATACAATATAGAGTAAGTCAGGACAGGATCCTGGTCCCAACAGTGGATGAGGATTTTTATGCAGTGTTCTCGAAAGTGACCCAAATGTGACAGAACAAAAGAAACTGAGGCAGGAAAACAGGAGTATATTTCAACAGATAAAATGAAGATCTTGCTTTGAGTGGTTGAAAAGGAAATGAAGAGAAGACAAAGGAGGCATTAAGAAGCAAGGACAGGCCTGAGGATGTCGCACAGCTGGTGGAATGCTAGCATGCATGCCCCAGACCTGCAGAAACATTACAGATCTGTAATCCTATAGCATTGGAAAGTTGAGATGGGACATTCAGTATTTCAAGGATAGGTCCAGCAAGGTGGCTCAGCCAATGGAGTGCTTGCCACCAAGCCTGATGACTTGAGCTCAACTCCCAGGCTCCACATGGTGGAAGGAGAAAACCAACTCATTAAATTGTCCTTTGACCTCCACATATATGCCATGGCGATGTTCGTCCTCCCCCAATAAATAAATAAATGTAATAAAAAAAGTTCTAAAAGAAGTTTAGGAATGCTAAGTTACATAACAAATTGGAGGTAAGCCTAGGTGAAGTAAGACACTGGTTTTATTTATTTATTTAGGGTTTTTTTTGAGACAGGATTTCACTATGTAGCTCTGGCTGTTCAGGAACTTGCTATGTATACTGCTGGCCTCAGACTGGGAGATCTGCCTGCCTCTGACCCCCAGGTACAGGGATTAAAGGTGGGTGCTACTACACAGGGCAACACCCTGACTTTAAAGGGGTGGAGCAACTTACCCTGTGAACCTGCTGGCTATAGTGAAGGATGTCAGGGATGACTGTACATTTTAGGGCTGGTGCGTGAATAGTGACAGTAACATATAGTAGGAAAATTAAATGGGGGAAACATTTGGAGGGGGCAAAGAAGTACTTAAAAATGGATAAGAAAGGCTGCGAGGCCGGCCGGCCAGGCCAGGCCAGGGCGGGGCCGGTGAACTTGTGTGCCTCGTGGTCCCGGGACACCGCGGGACACTGGGCAGAGGCTGGCACCATGAAGATCTGGACTTCGGAGCACGTCTTTGACTTATTGGTACCGCGAGAACGAAAACGTATGTGCAAGAGCACTCTGTAGTCGACCTGGTAAAGAAGACAATGGAGCTCAAGCCCACCAACATCTCATTTACAAATATGGTCTCAGTAGAGGAGAGGATCACTTACAAGCCGCACCCCCAGGACCCAGAGAAAACTGTCCTGACCCAGGAAGCCATCATCACCGTGAAAGGGGTCAGCCTCAGCAGCTACCTTGAAGGACTCATGGCAAGCACCATATCTTCCAACCCTAACAAAGGCTGGGAAGCAATGGAATGGGTGATCCATAAACTGAATGCCGAGATTGAAGACTTGGCAGCATCAGCAAGAGGAAGCCTACGGATGCCGATGGCAGCCGCGGCAGCTTTGGTGGAAAAATGACAGTGGAGATGGGTGTGCAGCTAGCTACAGGGCCCCCGGGACTCTCCAAGCTGACATCATATTTATTTGTTATTTAAAAGATACGGCTATTTTAGGTAGAGTTTATTATTATTGTTATTATTATTATTATCATCATTATTATCATTATCATTATTTTTTTAATGATCTGGGGTAAGGCTGTGACTTTTGATCAAAACAAAAGATGGAGAGTTTCTAAATCAAAGTGATTGTCTGAGGTGGAAGGGCTTGAGGGAGCTGACTGGAGAGTCTTGTGTTAGCATGAACAATACACGGGTTTGTTTGTTGTTTAATTGATGTTGACCTCAAGTCTCCTTAGGTAGAATCTTAGAGCCTGTCAGGGACTGGAACAGTATCTGGGTGTGGACCAACCAGAAGAAAGGCCGACTGCCCTCAAGTCCACACAGTTGCCCGCTGCTGTGAGGGCACCGGCCCACCTGCCTGAGGAACTCACTTTAAAAAGAGAAACTGTATAATTTCAAATGCCATTAATTTGTATAAAATAACTTGCCCTCTTGGGAACCAGTGTTTGGATTTGGAAGGCCCAGGGACTTTTCAGAATGGGACTGACAGGTACATAGGTAAGGCACGGGATTTTTTCCAACTGTTGTCTTTGGATGCTAGCAGTTTTGAGAAACAGTCATTGACAAAGCCAACTTAAGGTTCATTTATACCTGGTGGGGAGGGTGACCAACAATGAGGACTTTTATAGAACCTCATCACGGCTGCTCTAGGGTCACTGAATAGCAGTATTGAAAGGATGTTCATTAGGTTTCCATTATGAAGACACAAATGGAAAAGTACTGAATGTGCAAAGTGAATCAGAGCAGGCTATCAAATGCAGAGACATAAGAGGAAACTGTGTTTAAGGATCTCAATCTTCGTTCCCCTGGGCTGCCTTGTTCTTGTGATCTCGGTGGAAGGAATTCAGATAAGACACTCACAGCTTAGTGTAGGAAACATGTAAGGTTTATTACAGAGTAATGTGAAGCACTCATAGGGTGAGAAATGATGGTGGCCTCAGGGAACGTTGAGGGAGACACATTCTCAAGGAAGAAAATGAACAATGGCTAGACAGACTACTGTGCTGAGCCAGCTTTATGCCACTTCCTAAAGTGTCTGGATCCCACAGCCTTTCCCGGGGAGTATTTTCCTATCCAGGTGATTGACAGGTCCATGGGATGAAATTCCCAAAGGGAGGGAACAACGGTATTTCTTTGTTCTTTTCCAGAAAGCTCCCTGCTTGATAGCAATCACAAATGTTCCCGCAGTTCATAGAGCTGTGTCAACAACTAGGGCCTGAGATAAAACTCAGATTTCATGCTTTTGACCAAAAATCATGCAACAGAGGTGACTAAAGAACATTAAAGAGATGGAGTGGATAGAGAGCTCAGTGATTAAGAGTGAGAACTCTTGCCGTGTACCTGAGTTGGGCACCCTATACCCACCACTGGATAGCGAAAAATTGCCTCAAACTCCAGCTCATGTACACACACACATGCACTACACACACACACACACACACACACACACACACACACACACACACACACACGAACACATATAAGTAATTTAAAAAAAAAAAAAGCAGGACTTGTTGGCTTACAGCTCTAATCCAGTCATCCCAGAGCTAGAGGCAGGTGGGTGTGTCTGTGAGTTTCAGGCCAATCTGATTGACATAGGGAGTTTCAGGACAGCCAAGGGTACATATTGAGAGCCTGGAGGCAAGAAGAAAGAAGAAAGGAAAGAAAGAAGAAAGACAGAAAAGAGAAAAAAAATAAAATTAAAGAAAAAGAGATAGTCTATAAAAGTAGCCTTGTGCTACTAGGAGGAAATAGCTTTCCCTTAATGGGTCTCAACAAAGCCCTGCACTCCCAGTGGGTTCTTCCTTTTTGTCTTGCCGAGAGCTAACCTTTCACATAATATTTTCAGCTCAAAGCAGGGACGACGACGGTGACACTTTCGACCTCCTCAAACTGAAGGCATTGACGGGAACAGAGGAAGCAGCATAACAGGTCTGGCAACATTAGGGCCTCACAGCTGACTATGATAATGACCTCTAAGGCCGGTGATGTCTAAGTAGCCAACCACCTGACATGGTAGAGGATGATTTGGGGAGAAAGACACTTGACTGTCCTAGTTTGGTTCTGTTATTGTGACAAGTATCTCTACACAGAGCAACCTAGGGGAAGAAAGGGTTTGTTTAGCTTATACGTCCCCGGTCTATCATTTCTGGGAAATCAGGATATAGGTCACATAGCATCAATTAGTCACAATTGTAAAGAATAATTCAGTCCTTCCTCTCAGGCCTTCCTGAGAGGAAAAATTCCCCATGGAGACTCTCTTCCCAGGCAGTTCTAGGTTGTGTCAAGTTGATCATTAAAGCTAACCAGCCCAAATATTAAGAGTATAAAGCAGTACCTGCCCTCTAAGCAGAGCAAACTTGGGAAAGAATTTGTGCTCCAACGCCAGTGGTTCTACTAATTGTATAATTTCATTGTGCTTTTGAGATGGATTCCAGTTATGTGGTCTAAGGTGACCTTGAGCTTTCACTTCTGGCTTCAACCTCCCCAGTGTCCTGACATAGTGGAAGGGATTCTAATGTGGGACCCTTAGACCTCTCAGCTTGGCTATGGGACTGTTGAGACAGTGGTCCTCAAGAAACTGGAAGTCTCCTGGGGATCCCACACTGGGTGAAGGAAGAGGATGAAGCTGGTTGGCAGCCGGAGGATGAACTCCCCTTCCTGGAAGAGATGTCATAGTCAACCTTCTTTCAGATGACCTTGCAAGAAGCCTACCTCGTTAGGGCTCCCAGAGCACAGGTGTGAATGACTCCTACAATCCAAGATATCAGAACATGGGACGATCTCCAATGCTCATGGATTGGTAGGATTAACATAGTAAAAAATGGCCATCTTACCAAAATCTATCTACAGAATGGATTCATTGGAATACCCATTAAAATCCCAACACAATTCTTTACAGAACTTGAAAAAACAATACTCAACTTCCTATGGAAAAACAAGACCTGGGGTAGCCCAAACAATCCTGTACAATAAAAGAACATCTGGAGGTATCACCATTCCTGATCTTAAGCTCTACTAAAGAGCTATATAATAAAAACCACATGGTATTGGCATAAAACCAGACAGATGGATAAATGGAATTGAATCTAAGACCCAGATGTAAATCACATACCTGACTTTTGTCAAAGAAGTTAAAATTGTACATTAGGAAAAAAGGAAGCATCTTCAACAAATTGTGCTAGTCAAACTGGATGTGGGCATGTCAAAGGAGGCAAATAGATCCATATCTATTCCCATGCACAAAACTCAAGTCCAAGAGGCTCAAACACTTCAATATAAATCCAGATATATTGAACCTCACAGGAGAAAAAGCAGGAAATACCCTTGACCAAACTGGCATAGTAAACAACTGCCCAAATAAAACCCCAATAGTGCAGACAGTAAGATTGACAATTAATAAATGGGACATTAATAACCAATAAATGGGACCTCATAAAACTGAAAAACTTCTGTAAGGCCAAGGACACTATCAATAAGTCAAAATGGCAGCCTACAGAATGAGAAAAGACCTTCACCAACCTCACATCTGACTGAGAGTTGACTTCTGAAATATATAAAGAACTCAAGAAACTAGACATCAAAAAATCAAATAGTCCAATTTAAAAATGAGGTCCAAACAGAGAATTCTCAACAGAAGAATCTCAAATAGCCAAAAGACATTTAATGAATTGCTCAACATCCTTAGTCTCCAGGTAAATGCAAATCAAAAAGACTCTGAGATTCCATCTTACATATGTCGTAATGGCTAAGACCAAAAATACAAGTGATTCGTATGCTGGAGAGGATATGGGGCAAGGGGAATGCTCCTTCACCACGGGTGGGAGTGCAAACTTGTACAGCCACTTTGGAAACCAATATGGTGGTTTCTCAGAGAGTTGGGAATCAGTCTACCTCAAGCAATACCACTCTTGGGCATATAACAAAGGATGTCCTTTATACTGCAAGGACACTTGCTCAACTATGTTCATAGCTGCATTATTTGTAATAGCCAGAACATGGAAACATCCTAGATGCCACTGAACAGAAGAATGGAGAAGGAAAATGTGGTATATTTATACAATGGAGTATTACTCAGCTGTTATAAACAATGACGTCATGAAATTTGTAGGCAAATTGATGGAATTAGAACAAAATCATCCTGAGTTAGGTAATATACACTCTGTGAGGAGCCGCACTCACATTCGCCATTACAAGATGGCGCTGACATCCGCTGCCGGATCAAGTAAACAACGTTGGTATGCATGTGCCCAGTGTTTTTCCACTTGCCTAGCCTCACCTATTCCATGGCGTCATATAGGGTGATGAGTCATCCACCTATCCCAGCTGTACACGCACTACTCAGAGCTTATGAGCCTTTATAAGGGGACGGGATTCTTGGCTCGGGGTCTCCGCTCTGTAAGCTTATGCTCTCTCTCTCAAGATGCATTAAAGCTTTACTGCAGAAGGATCGAGTGTCCTGTGTCGTTCTTGCTGGCGAGACGATCGCTCGGGACACTTAACCATCCCCTAATTTATCTTTTTATGTAAGTTCTGGAGATTGAAGTCTGGTCATCATGGTGGAAATCTCTTTTCCCATTGAGTCATTGTGCTGATTTCAATTTTTTTTATTAATACATATTATTTTACACAGTGGGTTTCATTTTGACATTTTTGTGCATGTATACAATGTATGTTGATCACATTCACTTTCTTGCTTTCCTATCTTATCCTCTCCCCTTCCTGTTGACTTCCTCATTTTCTTCTTTGAGACTCTCCTCATGGATTCTTCTTTTTCTCCCTCAACTATTTATTAGGATTATGACGGTTAGGCTAAACTAAAATAAGCATGTATGCCCCATAGACATGTGCATGTGTATGTATACATGTGTGTACATAATTTAAACATTCAATAAATTC